GCCCTGGAAACGTGTCACCAGACTCCGCGTTGATTCGCTAAATATCGATCATCTAAATACTGGTTTAGAGGGCCCCTTTGGCTGGATCACATCCGGTAAGGTGGACATGATCGGAGATGTCATGGTACCCGAACAAAACAAGGATTTCCATGTCCTGGAAATTGTCAGCATCATTACTCAATCAATTAATAAGGAAGCAACTCGCTACATCAATCCTGAGATCCGGGATAGAGAAGATCATATCCTCCGACTCACTAACGGCAGTACAACAGGATCAGATGATATCTCGAAATACTTCGTGCTTGACTTGACAATGCGCCTTAATAATGTTCGAGCCCTGGTACCGTTCAAGGCCCCTGAATTGAGTTATGTCAACTATGCGCTTATCAGGCCAATTGTGGCGTACATTAATCTGAGAAACGCCTTTATCGAGGTGAAGTCCCGGATTGTCAAAAATATAGAAGATTTCAGCGGATCCTGGACTGTCTATGACTCGCTTTTGATGGACGACATCTCCGAAGAAGTATACGATGGTTTCGCAAACTACGTTGCGGATGACGAGGCCAGATTGGTCCGTATGCGCAAGGTAGCTTTCTGGACAATGCAATTGCTCGTACAATTCATTGTCTTTGGTCTTGGAGCCGTCACTTAAAGTCGCAACACCAACACTAGCATGGCCACATATGAGGCAAGACTGATGCCTGTGAGAAGGAGAACCAGATCGCCTGCGGTCTTGAACTCCTCCATGTCCTTCTCCGGGTTATAATAAGTGTCCACAGTGGATGCCTTGACCACGCCAATGAAGTATAGCAAGCAACCGTACACAGTGTAAACGGTGCCTATCGGAAGAAACTCTGACGAAAAGAGTTTAATCATGACAATGGAAAATGATAGACATGATATAGCCGTACGAGTGTAGGCACCCTCATAAGTTCGCTGATGAGCTCTCACATCAAGCTTGAGATTATCGGCGAGATCGCCTAGGCGTGACCGTCTTCTGGTGAGTTCCATAAGGACGAGCTAGTTTATTACGATAAGTGTGGAGCGATTACCGCGAAGTGCATGAAGCCTCACCGTGGGAAGTCTGGACATGTCTCAAGTCGTACAATTGTACATAGTAATTTTTCAAAGACAAAACATCAAGGAAGGCGTGATGTCCAGAATTTTCAAGACTTATACTAGATTGCTCCATTTTGTTGTTTTGATCATCCTCCAAATCACCATAGAGTCAACTCTAGATTTGCATCCACTGGTGCACTACAATTCGCACCAGTCGTTGATCAAACTCTCTTAACACATACTTACTCGCATTTCGAAAGTGAACATTCAGCTAATAGCTTGAAGTTTGTCAGCTTAAGGAATCCAGCGCAATAAGATGCCACCGAAGAGACAACTTGTGAAGTTGAAGGTTTCGCCTGAGTTCCTAAAGACACTTCCAGTTTTCGCTACACCCAAGGCAAAGCGAGTCAAGAAGATTGCCGAGGACAAGAAGAATGAGAAAATCGATAAAAACCTGCTGCCAGGTCCCCACGACGACAACTCAAAGGTGAACTCGGGCATGAAGGAGTTGTCCACGGCAGGTTTAACCGTACACAGCGTCAACGCCAACTTTGCTCTTGATAAGTCGGGCAGACCGGCCAAGAAGTGGGTTCGTGGATCCAGACAGTTCAAGACATTCAGTGGTTTCAAGGTGAAGCTCAAAACATGGAGACACAAGAGTGAAAAAGAGAAGCACGATGCTCCCAAGGAAGAGACGCCCCAGGATAGTTTGCCCAAGCAGGAAGAGGTCGGTCTGGAGACTCCCTCAGAAGCTACAGCAATCACAGCATAAACATGTAACATAGGAAATATAGGAAGGTACCGACAGTTTACGGAAGAGGAGGTAGAGAGGAGTGAGGTGATGAGACCATGCATGAATGAAAAGTTCATATTTCTGACTGGAAATCTTGAGGCGGCCAATTTTGAGGACGCCGCTTTAGCGACAATTCTATTAAGACGCTCTCAAACAGACTATCTGATTTGAGGAGACGGTCGAGTAGCTTGGACTGTTATCTCAATGCAGCGGTTTGTTGTAATCTGTACGAGAAGCACACAGCATTATAGCACAATATTTATCCGGAAACATACAAATATCATCAAATCAAAAGTGCAATGAAAATTTAAGAGATTCTAAAAATTCATCTACACTGTATGTATCTGTTGATATCTGGGCATCTCTAAACGTACCGAACCGCTACATACACACCAAAATCAACTACCATCTACACTGACCATGTTGGTGGGACGCAGGGCGGCACAGAAAAGCGTAAGGAGCTTTTCAAAGACAGCTCTTTTGTGTAATACCACAGAGCCCGCTTCGTCCACACAGGCGAATCATGCCATTTCCAACAAACAACTTCTATATACCACCGACCGTCTCACACCAGGACTGATATTCTTCTTGCCTCATGGAACAAGAATCTTCAACAAGCTCGTTGGTTTCATGAAGAATCAACAGACCAAGTATGGCTTTCAAGAAGTTATCTCCCCGTTGATCTACAAAAACGAACTTTGGAAACAGTCAGGCCATTGGGACAACTACAAAGAGGATATGTTCAAAGTAGTGGGTAATGATCTCTCTAAGGAGGAAGGAGACGCCTGTGAACATGAGGATCAACATGAATACGGACTCAAACCGATGAACTGTCCAGGCCACTGCATTATTTTCTCGAAGTTTGACAAGTCGTACAGTGAGCTTCCTGTGAGATACTCCGACTTTCTGTCTTTGCATAGAAATGAAGCGAGTGGTGCTCTTTCTGGGTTGACAAGAGTAAGAAGATTTCATCAGGATGACGGTCACATTTTCTGCGCTTTGCACCAGATCAATGAGGAGATCACCAACACCATCAACCTCATCAAGGACACATATAGTGTCTTCGGCATTGACTCAACCAAAGACGTTGAGTTTTACTTGAGCACAAGACCAGAGAAGTTTATGGGCGAGATAGGTGCGTGGGACGAGGCCGAGAACCAGTTGAGGGATGTGTTGAACGCCACAGCTGGAAAGGATGGTTGGAACATTCGTGAAGGAGATGGAGCATTCTACGGCCCCAAGATCGACATTTTGCTTACGGACGCCTTTGGAAAGAAACATCAAGTAGGCACAATCCAGCTTGATTTCCAGCTCCCCTCTCGTTTCGAGCTACAGTATACTGCTCAATCTGGTTCCAAGGTGCAACCAATTATGATTCACAGAGCCGTCTTTGGTTCCTTGGAGCGTTTCTTCGCAATCTTGCTAGACCATTACCAAGGTGCATGGCCATTTTGGCTCAATCCAAGACAGGCTGTGATCGTACCAGTTTCTGAGAAACATGTCGAGGCAGCCAAGACCCTTCAGAAACAGATTTCTGGTGACATAGCTTACAGTGACTCTGTGGCACCAATCACCGGATTCAACTTCTACGTCGATATTGATTCGAGGGACGAGAGTGTCGGCAATAGAATTAGAGACGCCGTCCAAAAGAAGTATTCCTACATCTTGATGCTTGGTGACAGAGACATAGAGCAAGGGACCGTGGCAGTTAGAACCAGGGAGAACAGAAAGGTGAAGAACATGACACCAAAAGAAATTGGTGATCTCTTTGTCAGCCTTGAAAGAAGCTTCCAGTAATTTTTATTTGTACATAGTCTACACGTTACGGCCTTTACTCCTGAGCTCCGTACCCTCTACCCACAAGGATCTTTTCCAAATGGATCCACAAATCTCTGATGATCATTTTATCTCTGAATCTTTTTTCGCCACGATCGATTCTCACGACATTGACGTTCCAGTCCTTGATCTGCTTTGGCACCACATCATTCTGGTAAGCGATGAAAAAACCCGGGTACTTTTGAAACAAAACCTCAGGCTTCGAGTACTTATATTTGGCAAATTGCCAGGCTTGTCCTGTTGTAATGATGGCCACCACTCTGTCCCAGTATTCTGGTTTAGTAAACATGTCGACATTATCCACAACCATGATGGAGTGGGCAGAAGGAGCTAGTTTGTCGGAAACGTGGTTGATGGTGACCACACCTGTCTCTGGTCTCTTCATGGTACTGACGTTGGGCTCCACGAATCGGCTCTCCTCCAAGAATTCCTTGATGTTGGCCAAAGAAAGTAATGCTGTAGTGGCTGGGGAAATGATGATAATGGGCAGCTTTTTGCTAGCAGCAGTACCCGTTCCGTTAGAGCTAGAAGGCCTAGAAGACTTGCTTCTCTTTAATTGAGACGAGAACCTCTTTGCATCAGATATGAGGTTCTTGAAGACGATATTTTTCGAACCTCTCAAGGCCGAGTTATGGTCCACAGAGTCTTCCTGGTACTTTTCTATACGGGCCATCTGAGGGTCCTCCAACTTTCTCTTCTTTTCGTTATCGTCTGCGGCATCACCAGCCTGTCCAGAAGCCTCGTCTTCTTTCACAAACTGACAAGAATCAGAGCTTCCACTCAACCAGGTTGTTAATTCAGCCTTCACCAAGAACTTGAAGTCGGGTATGCCATTCTCTAAACAAGCATTTTTGTAGTCCACAATGGAGGATTTATCATGCATCCAACAGAAAATGACAGCCCTGAGCAGCTGGCGTTGGTCTTCGTTGTAGAAGTTTGTGAGTTCGTCCAAGGCGTATTTGTCGTCGCTACCAAAAGAGGCATGCGTAGCGTCCTTGATATTATCAGTAGCATCGCCATCCTTGAAAAGCTCAATAGGCTTTTTGCCCGTTGTGGCTTTTCTCAACTGCCTGATGGGGTCCATGAGTAGTAGTACTGACGATAACGTTGATATTTTCGCATCCGCACTGCTAGTACTACTCACACCTACAATCAACATACCCACTCCAGGCTAGAAACCAGTCCATACAGAATCAAATACGAGTTTCGAGGGCTACTGATAAAATCTCGCTCCCCAGATTGACGTCGTGGAGACTGTCTGTTCATCGAGCCGTGATCATCACACTACCCTAAAGAAAGGCACTCCCTGAATATGTCATTTTCTATCTCTGACGTCCAGCAATGGGCTCAGGAGGCGTTCAGAACACTAGAGAAAGCCCGTGAGCTCTCTTCCTCGGCACAAGCGGTTCTCGAGTCCACAGCTCACATCCTTAGAGATCAATTACCGAAGAGAGTTCAAGTTGCATCCGAAAACCTGGGCCTCATAATGGATCAACATGCCAACATATCCGCCTTGATGGAACACATACGCGTTCAGGTGAATGATGGAATAATTGGGTCGCATAAATCTGCTGCCGAAACTCAGCTAAAGCCAGTGATGGAGAGACTCGACCAGGTGCTCAATCAATTGCGTACAACTCCTGTTCCCGAGGCACTCTTAAGTGACGAGGTTGACGATAAAGCCAGCTATAAAAACTTGGGTGATTTCATTGCCGACGAGGAGATTAATCTACTCAAGGAGAACATCCAAATCTACTTAGCCAATTCTGCAAAGACATGTGATCTACTAGCTCAGCAACTTGAGGTCCTACTAAAGGAGTATCACCGAAACTCAAAGAAGTACTTGAGCTTACACAAAATGTACAAGTCCTCGGTCGCTGAAACGGCGACGCTTCTTCGTTTTGCAGCCATGACCCAATCCCCTCCGAAGGAACAAAGCAACATAGTTCGGGCCATTTTAAGAGAAAATGGCTCGCTAGAGCAGGAGCTTGTATCATTATTGGAAATGCTCACCAATCACTATGACCAGTGCTCGATTGCGGTAGACCTTTTGAAGTCTAATGGAGAGAGTAGTGGAGTTAATTATGAGGTTCTTCAAGCGGATACCGCCGAGCTTCCGCACGTACTTCGAGAGTTTGCTGCAATCCACGACATCATTATGAATAACGAGACTAGGGCCGCAAAGTTCGTGGAGCTGAAGCTTCCAATGATAGAGAGCTTTGTAGAGCAATCTACGGCCCACACAGAAACGAACACCGCGTTTAAGAACGAGAAGATAACAAAGTTCGTTTTACTCATACTCAGGGTGGAAGAAGTGCTCAGGCTGTGCCTGATTGAAACCGCTGAGCCACCTACGAAGCTGGCCATAGGGCTTTATACGGATGTGGTAAACCAGCTTCTCCACCACTATACGCAATTCCTTGCGATTTTCAAGCAGCATTACATCACAGAGCTTCATTATGAGCAATACGTCTATCCAAGGAAGTATGTTAGAATGCTTGATGACTTTTTGCATGGTCCACTTTTAGAGCTTGAAGAGGATGAACGAGCAAGGCGAGCTCAATGGTTATCTCGCTACGGTGACTTTATCCCCAAAGAGCTCATACTTCCTGGGTTTCAGAGCCAACCGTGCGTGGTACAGGTGACCACAGAAGGTTTGGAGATGCTCCAGGCTGGTACTGCTGAGGAGGATGAGGCGAGACTTCTTCTGCTTCTCAAGAGGCACCAAAGCCGAGGTGCCAGTCCGACAAAAAATGGCTCAAATGAAGGCTGAAAGTTACCTCTGTAATTAAAATTTAATTCTAATATTTATTTGAAAACAGTAACATCAAGATGCGCCTGGCTGCAAAATCTTGCATCTAATAGAAGTCTCACTCACCTGCAGCCATATCAACGGAAGTAACCATAACACTAGAATACAACGAAAAGTCGAATGTCGATGAACTTCGGCCTCCTGTTTACGAAGGCTTCAGGAGGCTCATCTCAACAGAGTTCCAACAATGCCTCCTCAAATGGGCCTTCAATGTCCATGGCTGTTCGAGATGAGTACTCAGATCTAGAGGACTCCGAAGATGAGCCAATGCTGGAAACACCGGCGGTTCCGGAACCACCCCAACCATCAGGCTCTCATGTTAGCCAGTATGGTATTGGTGCTAAGCTTCTCATGAAAATGGGATACAAGCAGGGCCAGGGATTGGGTGCAAACCAGGAGGGAATAGTAAACCCCATAGAGACGAAGCTACGACCTAAGGGATTGGGTGTTGGCGGAGTACACGAGAAGACGAGCAATGAAGCAACTAAAACGATTAAAGAAGTTTCTGTCAAGGTGGATGATAAAGATCTGGAGTTAGAAGGTCTACGGCGCAGATATTCAAGCATAGTGCAGAGATTGAAGACTAGAGGGGTCAAATTGCATTATCAGTTTGAGGAGATTCTTCGCTTAGATTTAACAGATGAAGGCGGTTCTCAGGAAGAAAACGCCACCAGGCTACGAAGCGGCTGGGATGACCTTGTTAAGCTAGAGTCTGATATTACCGCACTTGATACAAATATGAGGTTGGAGTCTGAGGAGGCTAAAGCATTTGAAATAGAGACTGCCGAAGGACTATCTCTTATAGAGAGCCTGCAAGATCTACAGTCAATTCTCGAAGACTATAATCAACAGCAGACCAAAGAGGCCGCTACACAGTGTGTCGAAAAGATCACCAGGATGAGAAACCGGCCAGAAATTGTACTGGCACATCTTCTAATTGTCATTCTTTCGGAACATATACCATCGAAGTTGGATCCTCGTGACGAGGATCTCGCGTTGTGGTGTTCGTTGGTTCGGGAATTAGAGGTTCACCTGTCTATGCACCTAGGTGAGTGGGATTCGCTTCTTCTATCCAAGCTCAAAACAGATATCGAGCCTCTTCTCGAAGAAGCACAATTTGACGCTGTTCAAGATCTAGTTGTCTCGTGGAATGACCTGCCTGCCATCTCTGACAGCACCCTATTCAAGAGAACATTGTTCGACCAGGTGCTCCAGCCAATTATCGAGCGAGAACTTGACAATTGGAACATAGTGGAAAGTGAGGATTCCAAATTGCACGTACTTAATCTTGCTATTTCTGTCGGTCTTGATACCGACATTCTTTCCACAACCTTTCAGCCGCTTGAAGCTAGATTCACAAGTCTAGTTCAACCAAATAGTGAGCTTTGGAATCTGGTGCTCACTGCGAAGGATATCAAAGCACTCTATCAATCAAGCTTGAAGAATATCCTTGTGCATCACAACGCGTGGGCCGAAGTATTTTACCTATGGTCCCTGAGGTCTCAATTCCGTGACGAACTTATCCGGGCCATAGTCGGTTTAGTCTATCAACATTGTGGACAAACTGTGGAATCTCCCAATTTCAACGTCTTATGGCTTCTTCTGAAACTCACTTATGACGAGCAAGAAATTCTGCAAAGCCAGTTGGAGATTACTCTTCAATTTTGCTTTCTCAACCCTTCGTTGAGGTATCTCTCGAGGTTGTTGCAGAAAACTCCGCAACAGGTCCCGTCATGGTTTTGCGAAACGCAGTCAATGTTTCAAGTCCTAAATGACAAATTTCCAATTAATGACATAACGCTATGGTTTTTCAATACCTGCCTTGAAAAAATAAGCATATTCACAAAGACGGGCCGATTGGCTCTAGGAGGTCTTCCCAGTATAGATGATGATGCATTTCCAACTATCGATATGGTTATCAGGCTTGCAGAGGGCGATGGTACTACAGGTAATAGTGACGTCAGGGCACTACGTCTGTCCCAACTTATGGCTGTTTTCCGTGACGTAGTTGCCGACTACTGCTTCAAGCATGGCATTGGCTTCATCGCGACCGATCAAAGAGATGCGACTATGAACAGAATCTACCAATTGACGTTACTCAATGGGAAGGAAAAAAAATGTTTCATCAATGACGACATACTTTGGGTTGAATTTGGGACCAAGTTCGAGCCTACTAGTGTAAACGATTTGGTCAAGTTGAAGTAACCCAGTTTGGGTGCAAATTGTGCACACAGTGCGCAGATTTATGTCTGGAGAACATACGATCGAAGAAGCCTATCCTTCTTTCCCAAAATGTTATCCCGGAGAATTGCACGTTTGTCACCTTTAGGTGTCAGGTTTTATGCTAAACCACCCAAGAACAAGGTTTCCAAGTTCATTGACGATATTGGCAGGGAGGAAACTAAGGCTTCCCAAAACACATTGAAGGTTGTCCGTTGGATGGGAGGTCTTACGATCATTACGGTATGCTGCTCGCTTTTTTGGGCCAGCTCTATGTCTGCTCCTGTCAGGGAGAAAGAGATTGATCTTGGCGATTTGTCCAAGGATGTCCGTAAGGAAAAGGATTGAGTGACCTGGAGAGGTTAAGACGAGACTCAATCCACGTTGTCTTAAGGAGATGCGAATGGGATCAACTAGTTGGCAACCACTTGCTATTGGTCATGTAAATAGAAAAAAGGGGCCTTCATATCCTCAGATTGAAGTTCCTGGGTCCAGATTTCATGATTGCATCTTCAAGGAGGAATGACTCATACGGATTGTTTTGGCTTCGGTTGGCATAATGCTAGGCAATTTGAAGCTAAGCTGAACGAATTACGAAATAAATATTACGATATTGTACTAGTCTTCATTCCCTCATCTACAAATGGGTGCACCTGAGGTGCACTCACACTCATTGTTTGGAACTCTTCCTCAACTTTCGCTAATAAATAAAAAGCAAACATTTTCAGCTTATCCATGTAGTATCATCTAGCAGATATTATCAAGGCCTTTTTCTACGGACTCCACGTGCTTAGTCAGCTTGAGTTGCTAGCATATGGATTTCGCATTCAGTACTGATTTTTTCACCTCAAGTTTCTATTCACTTCTCTGAACTGCAATAAAGCACCATATCAGCGATGTTTAGAACTGCTTTCCATTCTATGCGCCAAAGCGCCATCCTTTCAAGAAGGTACGCTTCATCCGGCCGTGCCGCTCCAATCTCTAGGGTCGGTTTTGCTCCTAAAGCTGCCTTGGGTGTTTCGCTTTTGGCAGTTGCCATCATGTACCCTATCAACCAGGCTCAGAATGATGTGAGAGAGCAGGTTAAGGAGCACACTAAGGAGCTTGTAGAGGATGCCTCCAAGCAAACCGAGGCTGTGAAGGAGGATATCAAGGCTGCCGTTACCCCAGATGAGAAGAAACCCGAGGATGACTCTGAGAAGCCAGAAGAAGCCCAGGCTGCTTTCAACCCAGAGACTGGTGAGATCAACTGGGACTGTCCTTGTCTCGGAGGCATGGCTCACGGTCCATGTGGTGAGGAGTTCAAGGAGGCATTTGCATGTTTCGTTTACTCAGAAACCGAGCCAAAGGGCATCGACTGCATCAAGAAGTTTGAAGCTATGAGAATTTGCTTCAAGCAGCACCCTGAGCATTACAAGGAGGAGCTTTACGAGGATGAGGAGGTGCCAAGCGTCGAGACGGATGCTCCATCTGCGGGCACTGCTGCTGCTACTGCCACTGTTGCTGAAACCGCCTCTTCTAGCAGTGAAGCAAAGGAGGTTGCTCCTGTAATTGAAAGCATTCCTTCTGAGGGTCCTTCTCATGCCCACTCTGAGTTGCCTTCCACTGCCCCTGCTGAGGGTGCAAATGCATCTGACGTTCCTTCTTTGAAGGAGACAGCCAAAAAAGACGCTGGTTCGGCAGAAGAGCAACCCAAGCTTTAAAATTAAAAAAGTATCGTGTAAATAGAAAAATTAAGTCACAAATTTAGATCAATGTTTATGTTTGTAAGGACCGTGTATATTGATCGTTCAGGTTGATTAGCAAGCGCAGGAGCCTCTTCGTATTTTGTTCAATTCTATCGACTCGAAGCCCGTGACGCTTTGTCTTCTTCCGCTGGGTAACTGCACCCCAATAGAGGCAGCACGCTTGAAGACCAGCTCCACAAGCAGAAGCTGTTTGCATGAAATTTCCAACAAATCGGTATCCCAATCAGCAATGTAATCGTCAAGATTTACCTTCGGGTTGTTACGGCAAAGAACCTCCTGGATCTCATCCTTATCGATGCATCTGTCGTTCTCTCTGTCTATCTTGTTGCCAACTAGTACCACGCCTGGCTTGTCCACCTTGCAATGTTCCTTAAATCTGGAGAACCAGTCTCGTATGCTTAGCACAGATTCGTAGTTGGTCACGTCATACACAAGAATGCAGACATCGGCGCCCCTATAGAAAGCCTGAGAGATTGAATTGAAACGTTCCTGGCCAGCAGTGTCCCACACTTGAAGATTCACTTTCATGGAGGTCGAGCCCTGTTCTGTTTCAACAAAGGCTTCGTTACCTATGCTATGCTTTGGAATGCTGACGCTAGTGGTCAAGTAGTCACCTCCAATTGTGGCTTTGTAGGCGTTGGTGAAGACATGGTGAACGAATTGGGAGCGTAGACACGTCTTTCCCACACCAGAGTCGCCTAGAAGGACAACCTTGAGGAAAGGCGGATCCATGTATGCTCAGATAGAATTCTAGCTGTGATGGGGAGGGAGTATAACCTGTGGGTGCTTGAGGAATGGTATTGATAAATGAGGTGTGTATGCGAGTATACGATGGTGTAGCAAGCCGTCTAGCGGTAGTAGGAGGAAATTAGAGAATACAGATGAGACTTTGGTGAAGACTTAAATGAAAGTCAGGAGTTGATATTTGGGATCACAATTGCATTGAGACAAATTTTGCTGGTAAATGGTTTATGGGGATATTCACGAGGAGGTACTGAATTCGTGAAGTGTGTGAGAATTCCACCAGAGACGTAACATTGTGATGTATTTAAAAACATGAATACCGCAGAATCTCTCATTTTCGTCTAGATAGAAGCATATATAATTAGCCAGACAAGAAGAAACTTTCATATAAAGGAAATAATTGTTCACCAACCGGATGGGAAGAACGGTTGCAAAATCAGGTATCGGCAGTCGATTCCCGTATGAAGCAAGTTGATTTATTGAACCTAATTGAGACTATTCTTCATCACTGAAAAGCTACCAGCGGAGGCATTTTCCAATATACCCGTTTTGTTTACCTTCTTTCTAACAAAGGCCTCGTCAAGATATTCATGCACGGCTTTAATGGCTGCGAATGACACGAACCAGCCCACAGCCTCAACATCAAAATATTTTCGGGAATCAAAAACATATTGCCTGAAGATCAAGTGAAGCCTTTCAGGATGTGACAAATTTTCTGTATGAGCCAAATGCCTCGAACGCCGAATTCACATATATCCCCTCGGACTTCCCCTAGGTCTCATCCCCACCGAGGAAACGCCTATGCATACCGAGTCTCAAATCAGGATGATAACCCACCAAAGGTCCAAAGCGCAACCCTTTTAATAAAACTTCTGGGAAATGCAAATCCGGACTATTCTTAATTTTCCTTTTTAGGCCCTTCCACCTTAGAAAACGCCACTTTGAAGGGGTCTGGGACAGCCTTATCATCACGTGCCCAGTGCTCGTCGCATAAAAGCAACATCCACCGCTTCTTTCGCTCACACTACCATGAAGATCTATTACATTGGCATCTTGAAGGTCAAGGACTCCGTGGTGGAGCTTGCCGCGGCCAGAGACCTCAGCCAGTTTTCATTTTTTGAGAGATCCTCGGTATCTCAGTTCATGACATTTTTCTCCGAGACCGTGTCCCAAAGAACCGCTGCTGGTCAGAGACAGAGTATCGAAGAAGGCAACTACGTTGGCCACACATATACCAGACTGGAGGGCTTATCGTGTGTCGTGATCACCGACAAGGAGTACCCCGTTAGACCTGCCTACACGTTGATCAACAAGATTTTGGAGGAGTACCTCTCGTTGCATCCAGCCAACGAATGGAGCACAATCACCGAGCCAAGCGCTGCTTTTGCTTTCGACAAGTTGGACACCTACATCAAGAAGTACCAAGACCCATCGCAGGCTGACTCCATCATGAAGGTGCAGCAAGAGTTGGACGAGACCAAGATTGTTTTGCACAAGACGATCGAGTCTGTTTTGCAGAGAGGAGAGAAGTTAGACACTTTGGTGGACAAGAGTGAAGCGCTCTCATCGTCGTCAAGAATGTTCTACAAGCAAGCCAAGAAGACAAACTCGTGTTGTGTTATTGTCTAATTGTATATGTGTATCATGGATCGTCATTTTTATATGCGGTATGTCAAATACCACCGTAGACATGTCGAGGCACCGTCTAGGTCTACAATCTCGACTGCTTCACGGCGTCAAATGCCTTGAGCAATTTCCTTCTCGCTCCGAGCGCCTTAACGCCCTTGTTTTCTAAGTCCTCATCTGAGAGTTCCACAAGGTCTTTCCAGTACATGTCCTTCAAGCAGTCAGTGTACTTGTGAAGACGAAGAAGCTTCAACCAAGCGGGGATGTTATTGAGCAAATCGAGTGTGGCTATCTCAGTGGGCATCAGCAGCAGACCAGCGTTGGAGCTCTGGCCGCCCACCGGTGTCGATGCTCTGGATCTCGAGGAATCGTCTTTTTTCATTTTAAGTGCTGCAGCCGAAGGCCCTTGAGAAGCTGCCACGGAGTACTTTTGTGGCTGAACTGGCACCAGCGAGGAGTTGGCCTGACGGTTGATCAGTTCTTCAAAAGCGAGAGGATTATGCGAGTAAGGCTGCTGCAGTTGCAGCGTTTGGTGCTGGTAGGCTGGACCCTTTCTGTTAGAGTCGAGAGCCACACGAGAATTAATAGTGGCAAGTGCACCCAACTTCAGGGCAGCATTGAGGTCGTAGCCTTCATCTGGCGAAGGACCATGCTGGGCATACGAAAGAGGCAGATTGGAGGCGGCAGCCAATTGCAAGAAGTTGGTTTTCTCATGCAAATGGGAAGTAGGACTGCGGGCTCTGTCCAAAGGATTGGGCTGCTGCTGTGGCTGTTGCTGTCCGTTAACACCCTGAAGCCTATTGTGAAGGCTTGGATCCGCCAGTTTAGGCCGCTGGACCTTCAGCTCTTGGAAAAGATGCGATCTATAGTCGTTGTTCTTGGGCTTGGGCTGTGCAAGTCCGTTTTGCAACTGGGAGCCTCTGCCCAAGGAGGCGTTGTCCATGCTTGAAACCAAATCCTCGTAGCCGTAGTTCATTTTTGGCGGCACCAGCGCCTGCTCAGAGGAGTGGTTGAGATGAGCCTCGAGGCGAGACTTCATGGTGAGCAAAATGTCAAACGGCAAGTTGTTGCACCAGTGGTCAAGCATCGCCACAATGTCCTGTGGATCCAAATTCTCCATCCATGACGTGAAGCCCACTAGGTCGTCGTAGAAAGACAGGCCAGAGGCTTGGAGTCTGGATAAGCCCAGACTGGCATTTTGACCCCTGCCCAATAAATTAGAGAAGTCGTTAACCAGCTGCGGCCTCAGCGGCACCAGCAAGGATGGCGGCAAGAAGGACAGCAGTTTTGAGCCCAAGAGTCCCAGAAGATGCGAGCCTGCGCCAGCGCCTGGGGCCATGTTGTTGCTCAAGTGGGCCATGGAGGTTTTCTGTGGTGTCAACGACAGCAAGTTTTCCAGCAACGAAGGGCCCAAGCCGTGGGAGAATTGGGGCAGCAAGAAATGGCCACCAAGCGAAGGCGTGGCACTTTCGTTGCTTGAGGTGGTGCCCTGGTTTCCAGCATCGTCATTGTTGGACATGCTCAAGTCCAAATCCAAATCGGCTTTCAAAGCTTCAAATTCCTGCTGTAAATTATAGCCGACCAGCTGCTGCCTCTGCGCAAAATAGTCTTTTGGAAGTGGCGGTTGCAGCATGCTTGAATCAGGACGTTCTGTCTTAGAGTGCTGAGAGTTTGTAGAGTCGACGGGCGGCGGGGAAAGAACAATAGGTCTTTCGGAAAAAGACGACAAGAACTCGGGATTTTTCGAGAAGAGCTCCTTGTCCATGGTCAAAACTGGGGCGGTTTTTCGATTAGGGCCGGGTTGGAGGACCTATGGAGAGCTCATCGATGAAGCGTTGCGAAAAATCTGGGACGATGTTGATCACGTGGGTGGGGTCACGGGCTCAAACGGACGGTGATTCTGGCCATCCCGTTTTTATGTCAAAACTGGGCAGCAGAATAAGATTTAGCGATTTTATTCATTTGGTTAGGAGGTGTTTGTGGCAGATTTTGGATTTGGTCATGTGTGGGGTATGCATGCTGTCTGGGTTATTGCATATGTGCTGAAATGAATCGAGGGCTGGAACAAAAAGCCACTTATCCGGACCTATGAACAGTTTTAGAGTTTGAATTTTGAATGCTTTGGATTGTTTAGTACAATGTAGTGAGAGTTTAGTTTGGTGCAGACCTATGTCGATCATTCAGTTCTTGTGACTACCGAGGGCTTGTAACACGCCGCTGAGTAATCCCTCTAAAAGGCATTCACCTAAAGAAAAAGAGCTTCTTTAAATCGATATAGTGGTCTAAGTTATGCTACCATGGTTATGTTTTAGGACATGCTGGCATGCCTACATTTGTTCGGCTTCTATGCTTCTCTCCAATTCAGGTGGTTTAGTTATAGAGGAGAAGAAAAATCTCAACAGTAATATGCTTGATTCGAGGCATGTTTCATTCAACAAAACTCTCTTTTGCAATTAATAGGAAGAATAGATTGAAGTGGTGAGCGCTGGTCGCTTGTGACTGTCTTTCCTCGGCTGCCAAGAATGGCTGCGAAAAAAGCCCGAATGAGATTGTAATCGTCAAGTTCGTCGGCAATCTTGACGGCTATCTAGCATTCATGATAATAAAGATAACTCTTGATGTTGGAAAAAGTAATATGATGTCCGCATTATCAATGAGCTATCGAGGATTGGCTTAATCGTCTAGTAATGATCCACTTGATGTGCCTAGTTTACAGATGGTCAAGCGTCTTTAACGAGGATAACAGCTAGACTCCGTTTAAACCACTTTACCTCCCAAATAATCAATCTACTCCATGTCATGACCCAAAATCTATTGAAACGAAACCATACTTCGTTTGATCTATAAAATGTTCCTTCCGGTAAGGATACCCAACTATCCATTTAGATTGGCCTCTCTTACGAGCCAGTATTCTTTGTTCTCCATAGCTATGTCGCTTGTGAATTCCAATTCTGGGAACAACTCCAGAATGCTTTTAAATAGGCCCTCAGCAAATGTTTTGATGAAGAAAAGCTGTCCTTTGTGCATGGTAGGATTCGTCGTCAACACGTCTTCCACGGTGGTTGGGACCTTGTCATAACTGACATCAAGATCAACTTCCTTGTTGGCCAACTTCTTTTCGAGAGTCTCGATTTCAGCAAACTCTCTTGACAAGACCAAGGCCCACTGTGACGATACACGCAAGGGACGAGTCACGTTCGAAATGTCTGCACATTTGATCAAGAGTGACGATATAAGCTTGACCTTATCATCCAACGGATCGGAGGTTGAAAACTTGAACTTTTGCAACTTGTCGACATACTCGAAATGCTCAGCCATATCAGTTGCAAGAATGCTGCCGATTATAAGGTTTTTGAGTGTCAAGTTTGATGTAGAGTCTGTGACAAATTTGAGGAGCCTTGGGAGGCAGATGCGGAAAATTCTGTTGATGAAGACGGCGCTATGATACAGCTCAAGCACCGATCTTTCATTGTAAACTTGAGAAGCGGATGCTTCATGGGAGATCATAAATGCATTAGTGACGCCAGGATGACCGACGTCATGGCCAATGGCAGCGAAAAGCAAGCCAAGGGATTGGAGGGGATTGAGGTGTGGTACAAGTGCTTCACCTTCGGGACGTACCGTGGCGAGAGGGTACACCATGTCTAGTAGGACAGATGCATCTTTGCCTACTGGATTTTTCAATGTGGCGAGCTCATCATCCTTGGGGTTCTTGCGGAATTGGGAGAATTCCGGTAAACAGCCTAGGCGGATGAGATAGTGGAAACAGGCCTGCATCACATCAACGGCATGACGGAAGTTGTGGAATGGGTTGCCGTGCTGGTAGTTGTCCCTGACTATGAGAACGAACATCATGAGTTCGTTTGAAGAAGGGACAGGAAGTGTTGACCACATGGCAAGTTCTCTGATGTAACGGAGAGCAAACTCGAGCATGAGAAAAGCGCAGTAGGCCAAATCATCGCTCAGAAGCTCATGAGAGGGGAATGCCCAGTGGCCGACTAGATGAGCGAGTTTGGCGAGATGTTCTGGTTCGCTGTTGGATAGCAAATCCATTGTGTTTATGCTGCTATTCATCAAAGCCAAAAGCTCGCGGAGACGTTTTTCCGTCGAGTTGGATTTGCCCAGACTCTTGCTGAGTAAAGAGTTCATAGTGGGCATGGCATCGGCCACGATGGTGGAGTAATCTTTCGAGAAGGTGTCGTTGATTACCTCGGGGGCTGTTCCCGTCCAGAGCTCAATTCTGGAGATTCTATGGGCAGCGAGGCCATTGACAGTGGTAATTGCCTGGCTCAAAGAAGCCACCGTCGTCTTATCTAGCGTGTTTTGCTCCACCACAAGAAGGTTCAAGTGGCAGAAGAAGTAGCGGAGTATCAACGACTTGTCGGAAGCACAGAGGCTGTCCAAAGGATCTTTGCTGTTGGGGAAGTCGTCCAAAACAACCAACGTGGCTCTTTCTGCATCTCGTTCGCTATTTGACTTCTTGAAGAAACACAGAATAAGCAGTTTTATGCTGGTGTGGTGTTGTAGGGAGTGAGCTTGTAGAGCCGCTGAGACGGACTGAACCAGCAGGGGAGACGGACTGAGTACGTATACGTCTGCCATTTGGTCTGATTTGCTGGAAGAGACTAATATCTTTGTGTATGTGGTGGTTGTTTGTAGTAAATGTTGGAAGTGCTTGTCTTATCTCTGAAAAAGAGATTTTGATGAGCGGAAAAAAGAAATTCACAGACAGATAGATGGTGAGACAGGGGTGCTGGGGTTGCCGACGTTGGGGGACAGGCGGTGTACGGGTTTTCGTGATTGCACGGGGCCAGGGGTTGGCGGCAGTTGCAGCGTCTGGGGAAGGTTGAAAAATAAAAAGTGGTCCCGATCGGCAATTCCACACCACCAACGACGGTAACCAGGCTATGACGTTTCCTGCTACAGGGAAAATGTACTGCATGTGGGCGTCCCCGGCTGGTCTCAACGCACAACCACTAGACAGGCTGCCGCAAAGGAAAAGAAAAGTGGAGGCACCAGACAGCGTGGTACTGCAGGCAGGATGACAACGAAACATCCTGCCAGCCTCACACTCACCCCACGTCGGTTGGAGGTCCCCGATTCGGCCAATCGGTTGCAAACCGGGCCGTTATGAATCTCTGATTAGGGAGATTCAAGCGTGATTTTGTGTGATGGGGTCTGTAGTATCGAACATCTTGAACAATGGCACTTGGCAACGCGCTATCCGCCAAGCTGTCTGACGTATTCCGCTCTCTCGGTGCTGGTTTCATTAGTACCGCCGGGAGGTACCTTGGGGGAGCACATAGCTACACAGGTTGCGATCCGAACCAACACACAAATTTGTTAACTTTGTTAAAACACTAACCTATTTTTTTCTTTCCTTTTTTTTTTTTTTTCTTTGCCTTTGACTCCGTCTGACTCCAACTCTCAATGTATTACACGCCTCGAGATCACCGCCGCCGATGACGTGATATTCTGTGACGGGTCAAGAAAACCGAAACACAAAATGCAAGTGTCTCAAACGGCGATTGATCAGCACCCTCGCCTGTGCCTTCCTATTCTCTGCTTTTGCTGAGTGTTTCAACATGTTGAACTTCCACTTTTTTGTCGGCAATCAGCTCTAAATCCATTTTCTCTCCGTCGAACAATTTGGCAACCTCCTCGAGCGAGTAGCCCTTGGTCTCAGGGTAGAAGAAGTATGTGTTGAGAACAATGATAAAGAGCAACACGCAGAACACAATGTAGTACCGCCAGCCGATGTCGTCCAAGGCGATGGAATTGCAAAAAGACGCAATCACCAATGAGCCGTATACTCCAAGAAGCTCTACTGTGACACCTTTGGACCGCAACGAGTATGGGAAGATTTCCGTCGGATACGCCAAAAGCAAAGGCGTATAGGCAATGTCGTAATGGAAGTAAAAAATGAAGATAAAGCCCACCACAGCACGTCCCGCTGCCATTGACCCGTTCTGGTCGAAAACAGCCAGGCAGGCCGTCCAGATGATGTACGACACAAGCATACCAATTCCTGACCAGAGGAAGAGGGTTCTTCTGCCGAGGAAGTCCACCAATAACGCCGCTGAAGCGGCGGCTATAAGGTTGAAGATTTGCAAAAGCCCGTTGATGAGCGTTTGCATTGACGAGCTGGTGATGCCAATGGTATCAAGCACCAACGTGAGGTAGTAGGAAACCACGGCCACACCGTTCCATTGGGCAAAAATTCCCAACGATAAGGCAATGTACGTTCTTCTTCTGTTGCCTGGCGTAGCGATCAAGTCCAGCCATTTCGTCTGTTTCGCCAGTCTCTCCATGTCCAATGCTGCAAGGATCTCTCTGATCTCAACATCCACCAAGGCACTATCATTGTCACCACCAGCATGGTACTTCACCATGATTTCCCGTGCCTTGTCAACCTTACCCTTGGATATCAACCATCTGGGACTCTCAGGCACAAATACCAAGAAGGCAAGTTGCACCACAGGATATCCAGCCTGAAGAATGGTGGGTATACGCCATGCCCAATTGTCGCCCAGACCAGCAGTACCGTAACACGCCCAGGATGCCAAAATAGCCCCCAAATAGTACAAGCACCAGTACATCGAGGTCATCTTTCCTCTGAAGCTAGGGTATGATAATTCAGCCACAAGAAGCGGAGCAGGCTGAACTGCAAGCATTCCAGCGCCTCCTACAATAAATCTCGAGGCAATAAGCTGGGCCAAAGAGTGACCAGTTGCCTGGATTATAGTAGCAATGACAATCCCCCAAAGACCAATACACAAGGTCCATTTTCTACCGAGGTAGTCTGTGAGCCAGCCACAGAAGGGAAGAGCGATAACGCAGCCAAAGTTCTGAGCAGCATTGATGAAGCCAAGCATGGTGCCCTTAGGGTGTCCAAACTCGTCCTTCCATTCATCAATGGCCTGAAGCCCATTCATCAAAGAGCCATCGTAACCAGCAGTGGCAGAAGAGAGAAGAGGCACAAGCAAGATAAGGTTGAGTTCCAAGAGGTGGCGGACCCGATACCATGGTTTGCCGTGGTCGGGAAGCACCTCAGCGATGGATTTTCCCACAATCTCCTCGATGGGAGTCGTTTTGAAAAACATGCTTGTGTGAGTGGTGCCAGTAGAATGGCTGCAAAATGGCCAACTTATATGGTTGTGAGCATGGAGCGTCCCGGGAATGCCCAAAAGAGCTCCGAGACTAGGGTGACGTGCGGGGCATGTGTGGAAATACGAGGGCGACAGGGGTCCGAGGCAGCTTGATCTGGAGATTATGTGGTGATGATTTCCGGAGTACAGGAGTGCTTGGCCGACTGGTTCTTTCTGATTCGACGGTTGGACGCTCGGCAAGGTACGTATAGTGGGGTATGTGGGGCAGGCAGCTATACGCGCAGGCATTTTGCAGCCATTCAATGGGGTTTTGCAGCAAGATATTTTTCACCGAGACTCGGTAAATGAGGATGCAAGGAGGAGAAGAACAGAAACATGAAATAATGGCACTATGGCCAAGACGCCCAGCTCACAGTGAGGAGGAGGTATCCTGTGTCCGTTTGATGTGGATCGTATCAGTGATCTTCTTGGGACATGGAATATTGACTACCGGAGAATGATGAGATATCGAGAGAGTCAACTTTTCATTGGCGGAACAACGATGTATTATTCCAATTGAACGTGAGGTCTTTCGTAACTGGTGAAAAATTCGCCTTTACGACTTGTTCTACACTCCACTTATCATTCTAATCTTGACTATTTATTCCTCATGGGCAGCAGTGACCACCGTCAACGATAAAGTCACTACCGGTGGTGAAAGTGGAAGCGTTACTGGCCAAGTAGAGGTAGATACCCTTGAGCTCCCTGGCATCGGCATCTCTTCTCATTGGTGTTCTTCTGTACCACTCCTCCTTGACCTCGTCCGTCACCTTGTAGGAAATAGGTGTGTCAATGTAGCCTGGAGAGACCGAGTTGCATCTAGCAAAATCGGCCCACTCCACAGCCAAAGACTTGGTCAAGTGGATCACAGCAGCCTTGATCGCATTGTAGTTGGCCTGGTTCTGAGGAAGGTTCACGATGGATCCAGACATGGAGGCAGTGGTGATCAAGTTACCGTGGCCCTGTTTTTCAAAAACCTGACCAGCAGCACGAGCACAGTAGAACACGCCGTTGTAGTCGGTTTGAACAACATTGTTCCACTCCTCGAAGCTCAGCTTGAGAAGACCTGTGGTAGCTGGGATACCGGCATTGGCAATCATCACATCCAAGTGACCAAAGTCCTTGATCACTTCCTTGACACCATTGTCAACCTGCTCCCATTCTCTCACATCGACCTTGTATGCCTTTGCCTTGACCTTGTATTTCTCCTCGAGCTCTTTGGCAATGTCAATGGCTGCGGTGTTGTTGCCATACCATAAAGCGCAGTCTCCTCCAGCCTCAGCCAATGCTCTGGACACTTCTGCTCCGATTCCGCCAGCTGCACCAGTGATGATGGTGACTTTCCCCTTCATGGAGAACATCTCAAAGACGCTGTCGGAGAGCTGTGGGTTTGGCTTTCTAATGGTGGACATGGTGGCTGCGAAATCTGTGATTGACTCTTGTGATGAGAAACCAGGATAAGTGACAGCACCCCAGACATTTATACTACTGGCTTTGTGACCGCTGATGAGCTATAGTGGGGTTAAGTGTGCACCGGGCCTTTATGACCCCGGACTTCTGTCACCTCGGACTTCTGTCGCACTATCGTTCGGGCGGGCTACCCAATTGAGGATTGATTTGGGGTACTTCGAATGATCAGAGGGAGATCCTCAAAAGGATGTTTTTAACTTTAAAGTCCTCAGTGAAGTTTTGTGTAACTCGGAGTTGCTTATCTAAATCTCATTAGCCGAGTTGCGACCACCCATTTGGAGGTGGAGTAGCAATTGACTAGAGATTAGATCGAAGCAAGGTGGGTTCTTTATTGACGTTGCCATTGAGCTACTGACCTATACTTGTGAGAGAGGTATGCATGAGGATATCTGGTTTGGGCATGCAACAGTACTTCTTGTATTATCATACACCAAGGCCACAAATTACCCCTTACAATAAAAAAATCATTCACTCGTTTATTCTCTATCCTGTTCCGACTCAGATCTTGGTCTCGTCGGTGACACCGGCGATCATCACCTTGATCACATCGGTTCTGCCCTCCTTCACCAATTCAAACGCCTTCTCGGCTTCCTCAAACTTGAATCTGTTGGTAACGAGTCTCTTTACGTCAATCTTGCCAGAGGCAACTAAATCAACTGCAGTAGGGTAGCAGCCGGTGGAGTATCTGATGGTACCAGTCCAATTGAGCTGCTTAACAAGGGCCTCAGTAACTGGGAAGCTAACAAACTCTCTGCCCATTCCTGTTTGAACAAATCTTCCCTCGTGTCTTGCCAAAAAGACACCAGTTTGGATACATGGCTCGGCACCGGTAGCTTCCAAGATCACATCAGCTCCGTGCTCACCAACATCAAACTCCTTCTTGATGGTAGCAGAAACCCTTTTGGCGTAAGCCTCGGCGTCCTCGTTCTCCTCCTTGGGAGGCATCTTGAAAACACCATCGGCCCCGTAGGTCTTTGCAAATTGCAAACGTCCGTCAGAAATATCAACACCAATCACTTTTTTGCACCCAAGAGCCTTGGCCACAGCCTGGCACAATAATCCAATTGGACCGCAGCCAAACACAACAACAAAGTCTCTTCCTCTAAGGTCGGCCCTCTTGCATGCTTGAACGGCAACAGTGACTGGTTCAACAAGAGCAGCCTCCTCCATGTCCATGTGGTCTGGGATCTTGTAGCAGTAGTCATATGCAACATTGTAATAACGCTGCAAAGTGCCATCCCATGGAGGTGTGGCTGCAAACACCATATCCTCACACATGTTGTATTTACCATCACGGCAAAGATCACAGTAACGGCATGGCACGCCTGGTTCCACCGAGACTCTGTCACCTTTCTTCAAAGTGGTCACTTCTGAGCCAAGCTCCACCACCGTACCTGCCAGTTCGTGTCCCAACACCATGTCTTTTCCATCCTCCATGATGAATTTTCCAATACGGCCCTTCTGCCAGTAGTGGACGTCACTTCCACAGATACCGGTTTGCTCGATATGAACCCTCACTTCCTTAGGCTGCAAGGGCTTCATGGGTCTGTTTTCCAAGACAACATTTTTAACTGTTTTGAGGACGAAGGCTGGGTTTTCGGAGGACATTGTTGGTGAAGAAGTTTTCTGGATTCATGGCCTTTTTAAGTTCTCCAGCGGACTTCTGTGGACCTCTGGTGCAGTGCATTTGCAGCCATTCAACGGACATCTGGCCTCCACACGGGGAAGGCTATTGATCAGTGCTACGATTTACTTCTACGGGGAAGCTTCAATATCCGCATTCTAATATAACTGTCACGGGGTTATTCAATCGTCTATAGCAGAGAAGTACGTCTACCTGTCAGGGCCTTATCGCATGCTTTCACACTCTGAAGAATCAGGAAACCCACCTGTTGTGCTCCACAGATCTAACAGCCCTAGAAACCCTCCGCGACTTTGTCACTATTGTCCGTTATGGCACAAAGTTTTCTCTATATCGGAATCCGTTGTATGTCTCCCTGGCACAGGGCCAGTCTGCTCCAGCGGACACCTGTGACCCCAGAATCTGGGGTACTGTCCCGCGCTGCCCCACCATCGGTGGCATATAAAGACCAGAATCGCCAAAGTCTGGAACCAAAGTCCAATTGTCAGAATCATGCTTTTCCAACCCCAGGAATCATCTGTTCTTAGCCTTTTCTCTCTCAAGTCCGAGGTTGCCCTCATCACTGGAGGCGTTCGTGGTATCGGTCTCGGAGCTGCTATAGGCCTCGCTGAGGCTGGTGCAGATATCGCTGTGACGTACAATTCGCTGAAGCCCGAGGAAGTGAAAGAAGTGGAGGCAAAATTCAAGGAGCTAGGAGTCCGCTTCAAGGCTTACCAGTGCAATGTTGTCAACAAAAAGGAGATCGAGGCCTGTGTCGCCCAGGTGCTCGAGGACTTTGGTCGTTTGGATGTGGTGGTTCCAAATGCCGGTGTTGCAGTCCAGCAGAAGGGAGAGGACTTCACCGAGGAAAACTACCACAAGACTTTGAGTGTCAACTTGGATGGCGCTTTTTTCACGGCCCAGGCGGCTGCTAACGCTTTCAAGAAGCAGAAGGAGAGTGGTAGCTTCAAACAGGGCAGAATCGTCTTCACTGCTTCCATTTCTTCCAGCATTGTGAACTACCCACAGCCTCAAGCGCCATATAATGCCTCGAAAGCCGCTTTGGTGCGTTTGGCAAAGTGTCTAGCGGTGGAGTGGGTCGATTTTGCCAGAGTCAACTGTGTTTCTCCAGGTTACATTCAGACCGAAATGACTGACTGCCATCCAGAGGAATGGAGAAAAGTGTGGTCAGGCTTGATCCCCGCAGGCAGAATGTGCTCCACTTATGAGCTCAAGGGTGTATATGTCTTCTTGGCCAGCCATGCTTCCTCATATGTCACTGGAGAAGAGATTATTGCAGGTGGCGGTTACGCCCTTATCTAGGCATGATAGAATATAAACTGTTAGAACTGTTGTTCGATGTCAAAGGAAGAGGGCCAGAGCATCGTATGTAGCTGCATGAGCTGAGACATGGGGCTTTCGTCAACAGCTATAGTGGGAAAGGCCATATTATCGTTCAATGGTGTAAAGCCCGTGGTGTTTTCCTGGTTTCCGAGACATCCTAATGCCATGCTACTGATAAACTCGGAGATTCTAGCCGCTGGAGGACAGATTTTCAGGATTTTGTCTATCACCCTTTGCGCCATTACGATCTCTTTTCGCCATGCATTGGCTTCCGAAGAAACAGGATCGTTCCTTAAACAGACAAGTGGCATAACAACTGCTGGAATAAGGAAGAAAAGCAGGTACCATGCATCCATCCGGTTGTACTGGGCCTTTTCGCTCCAGAAGGTATCCATGCTTTGGATGGTTATGCTACACTCACGAAGACAAACCTCACCTGCCTTTGTCTCGTAATCATCCACGGGCTCTTGCTTGTCGGAAAAGAGCCTTTTCAACATGAAAGTTCTGTACATGATGATTCGAAGGTTCCGGGATCTCCAGTGCAAGACCGCATGAGCCAATTTGAATCTAGCAGAGACATCGGCGTCTTCTCGAAAACTTCTGGGAATCAACAGCTTCCAGCGCTCAATATATTCACAATCCCACCGCAACAATGTTTGAGCCAGCGGAAATGGGTCACTGATGATCCTCTCGTATATGCTGTTGGTGAATATATGGAAAAGCGCTTGAAGCCTCACGCTTGTGTAGACAGTGGGTCCTTTCTCTTGTTGAGGAGGAGCTGCGGTCATAGCTGTCAAATTCGAATCCACAACATTCATGGGCAACTTGGCGTCGAGTCCAGCACACGGAATGCCCAATGGTCTTCCATAAGTGATAGTCAGTCCACAGTCAAAGATGTACAAGCACCACCACACACGGCGACGCATTTCCTGGTTCAAAAGCAGATCGCCTGGCTCAGCCAAATCTTTATGGAGCCCAAGGCCAAGAGCCATTCGTGCCGCTAAGCCAAGGTAGTTGTAGCCTGAATTAGGTCTGTCTCGCTTTTGGAGATAATTTGAAATCAAAGCTAGAGTCTGAACGAGCGTGAGGGAGCCTGTTTCTAGATCTTCAAGGGAAAGTTCTTTTTTGGCACAATCAAGGAGGGTAAGATCATCATCCTCATCACCGGTTGTGGCTGACATGAACAGGCCTATAGCGGCTACTATGTAAAGCAAGGAACGCCATCCAGGGGGTGCCTCCACGACCTCATTAAGCTGAGCTAGGAAAAGGGGCCGATGTACTATGGGGTACGACACATGGTACGTTTCAAAGTACATGTTCACGTAGTGCTCTATTCTCAGTCTGGAAGGAATGGAGATTGATGCAAGGGAAGACGCTGAAGAAGGCGAATCGCTTTCTCGAATTTTTGGCTTGTTTTGCTGAAGGAAGTATCCACCTCCAATAAGATTGATCAATGCAGCTGAACTGGTGGTACCCAAGTAGCAGTTACTTTCAGTTGTAGCCATTCCGTCAGTCACCGAGAGTTTTCTATCCAACATGGATCTGCGTTCATCCCACAGGCATTTGCTGCTGTATGTGTTGGATAATGGAGAAGATGAAGTTGAGCTTTTCGAATTGGACATAGCATCTGTCTCATTGATAGAAGGTGGAAGATACTGAGGAATTTGGAGTAGCATCAGCAGCAGGCTCAGAATGTCATCATGATTCTGCAAAAGCAGCAGAATGTTCATCTGCGGGGTATGACCGATGAAGCCGTTTTGATTCGGTACTTCAACTTTCCTTCGCTTCACCACCACATCGTCTGGAAGATCATCGATGCTTGTCCCGTTTCGAAGCTTGCCAACTAATTGCTGAAGATCAACTTCGGGGCAGTATCGAGCAATGATTTGCCTTGTAACACTGAGTTCTTCCTCCACTTCTGTCAAATGCTTCCTGGTAAGTGGCGATCGTTTGGGCTGCTCATACAAGCAGTGCCGTTTGGCTGTTCGACATGTTCCACAGACGGGGAGCTCTCGAGCGCAGCGAATTCTCCGCCGCTTGCATTCATTACATGCAAAACGATTGAAGTCACTTTCACTGTCTGAAATCATAAAGAAATGAGGTAGTTGGTGGCATTTTGGATGAGGGTGACAGAAGTCCGTCTGGGGTAAGGCATGCAGAGTTGAAGTGGGGCAATCGCGTCACCGAGCAGAAGTCCGAGACTTCGGTTTGGGTCTTATAGTCGGAGCCGATATTACGTCAATGTGTGAGGGAATCAGATGTGAAATTTGTTTGATGAGATCAACGGTTGCTTTGAGTTTTCCTTCAATGATTTACAAAGGTGACGCACCTCTTGGATCACAATCTACATTGACGTAGAAGTGCATGACGTTTGCAGCCAATGCTTTAAAGACAATCCGAGAAAAGAAAGACATCAAACTGGATCTGTGTGAACTTTACGTCTTGTCTATTTCTTGTTCGCCGCCATCGGCGCATGCATTTATAAATACCATGATACTCGAGAGGGTATGGGTTAATCATGCTGCGTCCCTTCATTCAGAATATTCCCAAATACCTAGCCAAAACGTAGATACAAAGACCTCCAATGACGCAGCAGAGAAACGATATCAGTTGCGTCACTCTCCTTTGTCTCACCAACTGATCATGCTCGTTGAACCTTTTCGCAACATACTCCAATACAGCAATTTTGTCTGCCATTTCCTCCGTCATCACCACTTTGGAGCTTTGCATTCGCTGTCTGCTATCGTCAAGTCGTCCAGTCAAAGACTTTAACAACTCATCCAACTTATCAAGCTTCTCCATGCTCACCTGGAGCTGCAGCCTGAAGTTACTCTTCAATCGCAGTGTGGTTTCCGAAAGCTCTTTATGCAATGTCTGAACCTCCCCTGAAAGCTTGCTTAAATACTCACTGAGCATGTTCAACTGCTCCGTGGGTGCACAAGTCACATTGAGGTCCTTTTCAAATTTCCGCTCTAGCGCCAGCGCTGAGGTTTCTAGGGCCAGAACAAGCCGGTCAATTACTCTCGAGTCGTCGTCTTCATCATCCACGCCTAGAAGCATCTCGGCCACTTTAGCCGGACTTTGGATGTCCCGGTCTATGGGTGAGTATTGTAGTTTTCCCTCTTCCGCCAACTCCATGAATGACTTTTTAGCTGTCACTTGCAGCCATGGGAAAGCTTCTTCCTGTCGAGGTTCTCGAGAGGGCGATTCAGCTGACGGTTGACCCTGCCGAAATGCTGTTATGAGATCGGAATAGCTGTGTGCTTTCAGTGGAGGATCGGATCGAGGCATGTAAAATTGCTCCACAAGTCTCTTTTTTGCCAGAACCTCAGTACCGCTAAGCTGGTTGCCTTGAAGAGGCAGCACCGGACTTCTCGGCAGCATTGGGGTGCCTTTTGGCCGTTTCCTTTGAGTCAGAGACATGCCAAATGAGTTTGCGGCCTTCGGGCTCGGAGTGGTCTGGTCTGAATTTCGGTTCCCATTATGGCTGCTACGTTCACTCATATTTATAGGTCCCTTTGAGTGACATGCAATGGGTGGTAGAGATTGTAAATGTAGTAGGCTTAAAGTGATTCAAGTATGTGAGACATATGTGTACGGATGTACCAGCACGCATACTATCAGCAGCACCACGAATCATGAATCTAGAAGAGAATTTGGGAAAGTCAAAAATAAAAAAAGTTTTCCAGAAACCTCTCTGTTCCTGAATTGGTAGTTCATAGAATTCAATGCTACGGTGATCAGATTATGCTCGACTATCAGACCTCACTTGAGCCCCAGATCAACAGCCTACATTTTGCAACCGACTATTGATATTCTGCTACACCACCATTCGTTACAGTATTCTTTTTTTTATATACACATTTTTGATTGTTTTAGGAAATTACTTTCCCGCAGATCCACGGGCACCAGCACCAGAGGCAATAAGGTCCAAGGCCTCTTGAGTCAACTCAATCTCAGGCAATGGCTCACCCTGGTTGGCGGGAGCTGGCAAGAAGCCGATCTTCACCAAATAGCTGATGTAAATGCCCATCTGAGCAGCATCAAGACCATCACCGGCAGATCTGTCTTCTCCCAGAAGGTCTTTGTCTGCCTTCAAGGACTTAACGGCGTTCTGGTCATCCAACTCAGGAGCCTTAGTGTCCTGAGGCAAATTGTCGAGAACGAAATGGAGCAATGGGAACAATGCAGAGTCTCTGGAGTCAGCAATGACAAACTTTTCCAACGATGTTCTCCATTCAGGGTAGTCCTCACACTTCAAGTCATAGCCGTAGGTCTTGAGTGAGGCCAACATATCATTGAATCTGATTCTAGGATGGCCAGTCACCTGTGCAACAGCCAAGTAATCAGCGTGTGGTGGGTGAAGTGCAGTAGCCACAACAACACGAGCCACCTGGTCAACAGGAACAGCATTGACGTTGTTGGTGATGTCTGGGTATGAACCAAGCTCGGCACAACCCTTTAACATTCTCAAAAGGAAATCGTCGGTGTTGGAAGCACCAGATTTGGAGAAACCAGTAACGTAACCTGGTCTGGTGATGCAGCCCTTCAAACCTCTTTCACCGGCTCTTCTGATAATGTACTCAGCAGCCCATTTAGACTGACCATAGCCAGTACCCAAACCGGTGCTGGATCCATTCAAATCGTCCAGCTCAGCAATACCAGCAAAACCTCTAGATGTCAATTCGTCAGAGGCGTTGATGAAGTAGTCGCTGTCAAGAGTGGATGTGGTGGACACGAAAGAAAACTGCTTAGGCTTGCCCTCTCCAGCCAAGTTCATCACGTTGATTGTAGAAATGACATTGGCGTCTCTCAATTGAGAGTATGGGTACACCCAGTGGACCAAAGCACCATTATGGATAATGACATCCACAGCGTTGGCAAGCGTAGACCAAGTAGAGGCATCCAAGCCAAATTGGTGCTTGCTCAAGTCACCAAGAACAACCTCAATCTTAGAAGCCCACTCCTCGTTCCAAATACCGTACGTCTTACCCGTCTTGCGCAATCTTTCAAGACCAGCCTCTGCAGAAGATGCTCTGACATGGGCGTAAACCTTGAAGTCACCCTTACGGCCCAGCAAAAGATCACGAAGGATGAAGGACCCAAGGAAACCGGTGGCACCAGTGAGGAAGACGTTCACAGTTGAAGAAAAGTCCAATTTCTCCAATGATGGGTACAGCTTGAGAAGAGCATCTCTGGTGAGCTCCTTGGCATCATCGCTGTAGGAAAGAGAGTTATCAATTTCCACTTCGTGATGCTCCGCCTTACCGTCAGCCAATTGAGCAAAGTCACCCTTCTTGTACTTGGCAACCTCCTTGGAGAACAGCTCAATCGTAGGGTTCTTGAAGATAATTCCCAAAGGCACATCAACATTAAGCTTCTTTCTCAACTCGAAAATCATACGAGTACCCAAAATAGAGTGGCCACCAAGGTCGAAGAATGAGTCGTCCTTGGCGATAGTGGCTGGTCTGTTTGGCAAAACCTCGATCCACAAGTCACGAATGGTGGCCTCCAATTCGTTGAAGCTCTCCTCCTCATGATCAATACCTCTCTTATCAGCAGCCAACCGGGCCACAGCTTCAAGCTGGGCGGTATCTGGGAAAGGCAACTTGGGCTTGTCGACCTTACCATTTGGATTAAGTGGCAACTTGACCAATGGGACAATAATGGTGGGGATTGCATAAGAAGCTAATCTCTTCTTCAAGTGCAGCTTGATGTCCTTAATCAAAGCACCGTAGGCAGCCAATCCACTAACGATAGGGTCGTCCTGGTCCTCAACATCAGCCTTAAGCTCATGCAACTCGGGACACTCCTTGGGCACAATGTAGGAGATCAAAGTGGGCTCTTCACTCTTGTCTCTTCTCACCAAAGTAACGTTCTCTCTGACCAATGGGTGTTGAGATAAGTGGGTGTCAATCTCACCCAATTCGATACGGAAACCTCTGATCTTCACCTGGTCATCGGCTCTACCACAGCACTCCACATTACCGTCTGGCAAGTATCTGCCCAAGTCACCGGTTCTGTATAATCTGTCTCTGGGTCCAAACCAGCCCTGCTCTCTCCATGGTTGCTTGGTAACATCAGCATTGGCCTGATCTTGTTCGGTCCATTGTTGAGGATCGACGTACCAGTTTGTGACAAACTTTTGCTTGTTCAAGTCTGGCAAGCCACGGTAGCCCTCAGCCAAACCAGCGGCTCTGACGTAGATTTCTCCAATCTCACCAACACCACATGTCTGCGAAGGGTCGTTTCTGTTCACCACCAACATTTGCACATTGTACATACCGCTTCCAGCAGGCATAACATCCTTCAAGTTCTTCAAGAAGGTAGGGTCAGCGGCTCTGGACTTGATCTCGAAGTAGGAGACAGCACGCTGGGTTTCAGTGGTTCCGTACATGTTCACGATGTAGACGTTCTCGGCCAAAGTTTGCAAACGGAGACAATCTCTCTTGGTCAAAATGTCACCAACGAAGAATGCGTGGTGCAAGCTTGGAATAGCAGTAGTGGCTTGGGCACTTAAAAGCTGACCCATAGCTGGTGTAAGATGGGTGACAGTAGTGCCATATTCGGCCATCCAATCGGCCAACTTACCTGGAGTACCAATATCGTCAGCTGTAGGGACAATAAGCTGAGCTCCCAAGAAAAGTGGTGTGAACATATCTCTTTGGATAGGGTCATGGGCGATACCAGACAACATGGTGAATTTATCGTCGGAAGAAAGACCAAAACGCTTAGCCATCCATGGGAAGTAGTATGCAAGTGAGTAGTGACGACCCAACACACCCTTAGGCACACCTTCCGAGCCGGAAGTGAAACTCAATGTTGGGTTACAGTCAGGACCGACAATTACTCCTGTAGGCTTTTCAGCAAACGACTGATATGCCGCTAAGACGTCTTCAGAAGAGTTCTCCAGACCACCGATAATTGAACCGTCATCCTGAAGCTTCAACTGTGGGATAGAAGTCACCACATTTAGCTCATCCTTGATATAGTCCTTGACAAGATCGTCCAACACGCCAGCCTTCTCCAAGCCAATAAGACCCTGAGGCTTGGCCACGGAAAGGTAGATGTTCTGTCTAGCTGGAGGGTAGGCTGGGTCAATGACAGAGAAGGTAGCACCAGCCTTCAACACACCCATTACAGCGACCATCAAATCCACACCTCTGTAGGCATAGATCATGACAATGTCACCCTTCTTGATACCGGTCTCCTTCAAGTAATTGCCAACCACGTTGGAAGCTTCGTTGATCTGCTTGTAGGTGAAAGTTCTGGTTTTGGAGGAAGGATCCATGAACAGCTTTGTCTCGACCACACATGTTCTGTCAGGGAACTCCAAGGCGTTCTTCATGAAAATGTCTTGAATGGCCCCTCTGTAGCCGCTCCAGTCAAGGTCCAATGTTGGGTCAGGCAAATGTGACTTTTGGGTAGGTGTGATCAAGTTGACCTTGGTGATCTCAACGTCAGGATTCTGACTCACAGCCGTCGTGAACTGGCTAAACTGCTCGGCAAAAATGTCCATTCTCTCTGAGCGATAAAGCAAAGCATTGTAGAAAAAGTGCAATTGTGCCGTCTTGGGATCAATGAAAACAGCCAAGTCTCTCACAGAGCCCTTGACAGAGGTCTCCAACTTCTGAGACTCTCTGGCGAACTGGTAACTGATCTTGAACAATGGAGGACGAGTTTCTAGTCCCTTTTGCTCCTTGATTGCTTGCGCAATGTCGTCCAAATTGTGGTACTCCACCTTGTGTTGGTTGGTGTCGTATTCCTGACGAATCTTCTCCTCCAATTGCTTAAACAGCATCTTGGGGTCCACCGTCAACCTCACAATAAAAGGTTCGCCTTCTGCCTCGGCATCAGTAGCAATGACAACATCATCGTCACCGGTCAATCTGAAAATGAGTGCTGCCAATACAGCTAAACCAGTAACAAAGTCCGGCTTGACTGCAATCTGGATCAGCTTGGTGGCCTCCACCGACCTATTGTTCTCGGGCTTGAGGAAGTCATGGGGAAGCACCGATAGTGTCGGATTTTCTAGGTAGTTGAGCCAAAAATCAAGCATTGGAAGTAGTAGTAGGGAGGTGATTGAATCGCAAGACCTTTTATGTGGGGAGGTTTTTCAGTCTGTGTCCTGCAGGTGCCCCAGTAGATGGAGAGGCATTTTTGTTATCGCCCGTGAGTCACCTACGAGTGTGCAGGAGCGATAGCAGATTAGAGACGAAAGTTTAAATGAATTCTCTTTTCGGGAGGGGCGGATGAACTCTGTGAATCCGGTATGAACTTTTTGTGTACAATTTATGGAGAGAATCCAAACATAGCTTCATAATTACCGATTTTACGCCACGTGGTTTGCGTCACGTGGTAATGGCTGCAAAAAAGAGCCATAGCGAATACGGTACTGACTCATGACAGACAGAACCTGCTAATTCTTCTACTAAGAGAATAAAATTGTGTTGTCTTGTTGGTGTCATGCTTTCTCAACTTTGTGAATCACCGCATAGGTCATTCTACGTGTGGTGTTACTGCTACGGATATCGTGCTATTAAATATGGGGCGTTATGCTCCCTGTGTATGTAACTTTCCGTTTCCCCACAAGAAGATTAATTCATGAACAAGAACTGAAGATCGTCTGGGGTAAGTCTGTTGACTGCGGCATCGTCATGATTGATGGTGGCGTGGATCATGTTGGCCTTTTTGTCTTGCAACTCGATGATCTTCAGCTCAATACTATCCTCAATACAAAATCTCGTGATACGAATAGGCCTCTTCTGACCAATTCTGTGCACACGATCCATTGACTGCCATTCCACACTCGGGTTCCACCATGGATCCATGAGGAAAACTTGCGACGCCTCACACAAGTTAAGGGCAACACCACCTGCTTTCAATGACACAAGGAAGATCTCCACCAGAGTGTTTTCCATGAAATACTTGATTGTCTTGTCACGCTGCTGGGGTGACATAGATCCGGAAAGTTTAACCGTCTGGAAACCTGCTCTCTTGAGTCTCCACTCAACTAAGTCCAACATCGAGGTAAATTGTGAAAACACAATCGACTTGATTGTGTGTCTATCAGATCGAAGTTTGTAAAGCTCCTCGACCAATGCCTCGATCTTCGTCGACAGTCTCCATTCTCCACCATGTGTACCCATCTTGATTCTGTTGACAATAGATGCTTTGGAAAACTGTTCCTCGTCCACAGCCAAGGCGGGTTGTTGCAAGTCGATGGAGAGACCAATGTGGCAAACAGGGCACTCGAGTTTCTTCTCCTCTCCAGAGAAACTCTCCACATACTCCTGGATACACATACGGCAAAACTTGTGATGACACTTAGACTCGATTGGTTCCTCGGCCTCGTCGTCACACAACTGACACATGATCACACCCTCGACATCTTGTGCAATCGCATTAGTACCTATCCTCTTGAGGACTAAATCAGGGTGATCAGCCAACTGTCTCATTCTCGTGATCAAAGTAAAAATGTTAGCATAATTATTGAGAACGACACCCTCGGCAACGTAATCGTTGAACTTTCTCTTCGAATCACTGTATAAAGACTGGTATAGGTCCTTCTCCTCCGCATTAAACTTATCTTTTCTGATCTCCACGATTCTCGGTGGAAGACCTAAATCATCTGCACGCTCCAATTTAGTTCTTCGAAGCATGACATTTCTCAAAAGCAAGCGAATGTGTTGAAACGAAGTGAGACCATCGCCTTCGATACCGTGCTTTTGAATGTTCTTCAACATAAAGTGGTTGAAGAAGTTTGTGTGAAGCATGGGTGAATGTCCACAATGGTCACAATGCCTCCAATCGGAAAACTTCCACTCCGACAGAGAACACTCACACTTTGTACAGAAATACTTGTAGAAAGGGTCGAGCTTCATGAATCGAATCAATGAGTACATTTCACCAATTCTGTTCTGTAACGGCGTACCAGTTAAGCACCATCTCTTCTGGCAATTCAAGTCATTTGCTGCCTTTGCTGTTCCCGAGGTACGATCTTTGATGTTATGGGCTTCATCAAGGATGACTCTGTAGAATGGTAATGCATGCAATGGGGACTTCTGCTTCACAAGACCGTTCTTTCTGCGGAAACCATAACGTTCTTTTCTGTCGACACTTTCCAACACCGAATAGGAAGTCAAAATCACATCGTATTTCATTAGTTCTTCCATGTCGGTTTCTCTATTAGCACCGTGGAATAATAGCGTCTTGAGCTGGCCATCATGCGTATGTGCCTCGATCTCGTTTTTCCATTGCATCAATGCCACAGTAGGACCCACAACCAAGTTTGGCCTTTTCTGCGTGTCGCTCATAAAAAGAGCAATCATTTGAATTGTCTTACCCATACCCATCTCGTCTGCAAGAACACCACCTTGGAACTCACCATCTTCTTGTGCCAACAACCAATTAAGACCTTCCAACTGAAATGGCAAAAGACGGATATTCATCTTATCTGGTTGTTCGGCACGTTTTACAGGAATGCCCGGAAGTGACTGAAGGTAGGGGAAGACATCCTTAAGCTCTGGGTGTTGCTCGTAGAGCTTATTAGTGGTTCGGGTGAAATAAGGAACCTTCACTTTTGGCTCTTTCTTTTTCCGAGGCTTTTTTGCCTTTTTACCGGAAGCCCCTGGACTCATGGAGAGACGTTGTTTCGGCTTTGGTCTTTCCGCCGCATCTCCGTTTCCGTTAGCTGCAATCTCCAAATCTGACTCACTATCTAGGTTCACAGCAGTTTGAGGGTTGGACCCTTCTTCATGGCGTGAGTGGCTGATTATCGCCAAGTCATCATCCTCCTCTTCCTCTGAGTGGTGGTCTTCGATTTTGAAGTCCCCATCGTTCTCATCGTCTGAGTCATCGACCTTGATCTTCTTGGAGCCTCTGCGTGGGCCTCTGGTGGCCCTTTTTCTGCTTCCATTCACCTCTACCACATCGTCGTCAGACTCCTCCTTGTATGTTTGAGATTTTGGTGTCAGTTTTCTTCTGGATCTGCCTTTCGTCTTCTTGCGATCTGGATCATTTACGAGGAAGCCGCCTTCTTCGGCGTCAGATGTGTAGTCATCTTCTGGGTGCTGTGGACGCGTCATATGTTATTTGGGACACTTGGTAAGGGTGTGGGATAAGTTTTTCAAATTTTGTGGAACCAGGATCGTGTAGCACCGGTTTGAAAATCACCAGTGCTCCAATCTTATCTGCTTTATGACGTGCAGATGCGAAGGTTGATATAGTCCCCATGCAGTCTCCATCAACGGTCGTTGCTTGCTAATTGAGATGTGACAAAGCTTGTGAAGATAAAAAAGGTTGATTATTACCCAGATTCTGTCAAAAATGGTTTACTGAAACTATATTTCAAGGTTGTCATGGTAGCTTTCAAATGTGGCATCTCCTCGGAATTCCAGAGATGAGCTCATGGAGTGCGTTTGCCACAATTTGAGGAGTAAGGAATGTGGACCAATAACGAACGGCTTCAGAGATGTCATGAAGGGATGTCACATTTTGCGGGGCTTTTGATTCAAATATCTTGAGTTGGGAGTTCTTTGAGTCATTTAACCTTTAAGTCGTTATAATGCTAGCTTTTCGTGCTATTCTAGCGCAACAAATGTCAACCCACCATCCTCACCAATTTTGTGAAGCATATAGTCGTATTTGAATAGGCTTGGTGTGGGTTGTGCTTTTTTAAGTATTAGAGGATATTGTGTAGAAGAGCAGGAATGGCTGCGAATTTCTGTAAAGATTACTAGTGCGCATGAAGACTATAGACAATATAACTTCAACTGGAAAATACAGAATTTCAGCAAAAGCGTAAACAATGTATTTCATCCGATTAAATAACTTCCTTTCCATGAAGTTTAGTCGAGGTTTCACATTTTGTTGTCCGGCTTCCACGTTATTGACCACACCATCTTGCTTTAATCTTAGTTGAAAAAAATAAATTGTAGGAAGCTTGAGACTGCTTTCCCTAGCTGTCCAATCTATGAATAACAACAATTCTAAATGGAGCTTAAACGCTCATCAACTAGTTTAATGGAGCCACAATCTTCACTCTTTTGGTTTTCTCAGACTTATACTTTTCACTTAGAGCTATGTTCATCCAATGAACACCAAGAACTGAACGAGAAGCCATTGAAAGTTTACGGGTAAGAGCTACCAGTTCTTGATAACTTTCACTAATTAATCGTACAGTGTTTGACATGTTCACACACCAATGCTTGTGCTAAAACCGGTGACCGTCAACAATACATGTAAGCCTTTCGACAACGTCATCCATCCCCGACATTCAATTCATCTACAATCTGGCGTAAGCCTTTTCTCCAATACGTAAATTAATTACATGTTACATGCTTGCAGCTTAACGGCCACGAGAGGTGGTCTTGGTGTGCTGACCTCTCACCTTCAAGCCCCAGAAGTGTCTGATACCTCTGTGGGATCTGATCTTCTTCAATCTCTCCAAGTCATCTCTCAACTTAGACTCCATGTTGTTGGCCAAGACGTGGTAGTCCTTGCCGTCAACCTGGTCCTTCTGTCTGTTCAAGAACCAAGCTGGGATCTTGTACTGAGTTGGGTTTTGCATGATGGTGACAACTCTCTCCAACTCTTCCTGGGTCAACTCACCGGCACGCTTCTTCAAGTCAACGTCGGCCTTCTTGCAAACCAAGTTGGAGTATCTTCTGCCCACACCTCTGATCTTGGTCAAGGCGTACATGATCTTGATTCTACCATCGATGTTGGTGTTCAACAAACGCAAAATGTGCTGGAACGATCCGTCTTCCTGGACAACTAAAGACATGGCGGATAGGCTTTTGGTAGTTGAGAGGGAATCTTTTTTGGTTAACGGTTGGAAATTTTTTTTCCCTCTTCCTCGCGCGTGCAGGTGGGATTGGGCACGTGACAGCCTCACATTATGGAAAATGGGTGCGTCGCCAACGCATACTGGACACAGGCGCGCTAGGGCTGAAGCCCTATCCATATCTGTAGTTCAGCGGGAAGCTTCATTTACGTGGGGACTAAGGGAGTGTGAAATGTGAAATTTAATATGTTGATCCATTTGAATGTAGTCAT